GACTTTAATAGGAATTGTGCCTGGGTGAAGACTGAATATGAACAAAGCCCTGATGATTTAGGCATATGTTTAAATGTGCTGATTAAGGCCGCAATTCAGCCAAGCACTTGAGCACATGCTTGACTTTAAGCAAGTGCTTAAGTCCCTCCCTATTCACCAAAGCACTCAATGGAATACTTGAAGCCTAGGGCATGTGCAGAAGCGCTGCATCAGGTTCTAGTAATGACGGTCTGTTTTCCATTCATAAAATCCACAGATTGAGCAAACAGTTAAACAAATGTCCTGGAAGTGCAGGCGCTAAGAAGCTGTTGGATGTGGAGCAGAAACGGCTGTGACCAGAGCAGGTCAGAGAGGGGAATACAAAGGCTGTTATTTCCTGAGGAATTTGTCAGTATGACAAATAGGTTTTTTTTTTAATTCACTGCATTTTCCTAGTCAGCCTCCCACACAACAGCCGAAGTGACTTTCACATGCATGTAGAAGGGGATCGGCTTGTGTTTCTTGTAATCCAATGCTCGTGGATTCAGACAAGAAATCAGTCGGATCACTGTTTATTATCAGTAAGTGGGGCAGGTTTAAAGGAAATGGGCAGATTTCAACACTAGAGCTATAACTAATTTACTGCTGGCATGTTCTGCTCTTGCCCTCATTATTTATGTTGAAAATGATAAATGAGGGATTGATGATTCTTGCTGGTTTATGAATAATCAGGTTATTGCGCTGCAAAGCCCTGGGGGAGGGTAGTGTTTCTGCAATCCTCCATCAAAGAGAATGCAGAATGCTCTGTGTGTGTCTGTACGCGCACCCCCCCCTTCTCTTTGCACACCCACCACTTTGTGCATTTGCACACTCACAACCTGGGCGTACGCTTGCCTGCACTCACACCCATCTTTCTGCTCAGACCTCTGCATGTGTTCACTCACCCCCCTGTGCACATACGTGCACCCACCCCCCCACCTTTCTGTGCACAACCAATGCCCCTGGCCGTAACCAACATCACCCAGGTGCCTGCGTGCACTTGGGCCCACCCACTCAGATCCACGCAGGGACTGAAGCATGCCTGGCTGTCAGAAACGTGAGTCGCCCTAACTTTTCTCCAGCCAATGGAGTACCATGATGCCACACGTGGCTAATGCTGAGTTAGTGATTTTTAAAGAAAAAAACGAATTAGCCTTCCATTGAAAAGTGCTAGTTAGCTTTGGGGTAATATTGTGGGAAGTAGTTGAGGTCTGGACGTGGGGACGGGGTCCGTCTATGACTCTCTGTTTGTACAGCACCCAGTGCCGTGGGGATCCTGTGTTTGATTGGCCCTCAGGGGCTGCTGCAATAAACATGGTTATTACTAATAACGGTATCAAGAGGCCCAGGGGCAGTGGTCACTTGGAAGAAGCACTGATAACATTTGTAGTTCAAGGAGCTCTTATGCAGGGTCAGCTCACCTACTTTGCCGTGAGAATGCAAGCTACTCAAGCCCATGCACTGTTAATCCTTTTCTGCTATCCCACAATTCCATCTGGGTTGTACTTTCTCATCTACCTCCATCCTTCTTTGGCACTGTACGTCACCGACACTGGCTCAGCGCTCTAGCCCATGTTGGCCTGCTCCATTTCTGCTGCCCTCCACCGCATTTACAGAGATGCCATCCAAGAAATACTCGTCCTGTGCTGAACCTAGCCTTTGGGTAGAGCTGTGATGTGCTAGCGGTAAAGACTCATGAGTAGGAGAAATGTACAACAAATGACATTTTTGTGTTTAGTTGACAGGAAAGAAGCAGAGTGGCTGAGCAAGTCAGCCAGCTGTGTTATGAATCACTTTGTAGTTTGCAGACCAACTTAATTAATGGCATTCTCATTAGCAGTTCTTGCTGCCAAATCCGGCTTGCTTTCACCTTCAGAACTGTCTGCATTAATAATGAATAACTCCACTTGCAAGTTACTTATGAAATATTGTTTTCCTGTCACTGCCACAGACAGCAGCTCGGTTAGGTGAGAGCGAGAGAGAGCACTCTGTGAATGAATTCATAGCGCACCCTGGTTAATGCACCGTTCAGAACCATGGGATAGCCCAGCAGAAATCCAGCCCAGCACACGGGTGGATACAGTTACACCGGTCGGGCACAGGTAGCTCTTAGGTCTCAGTCTGGAGTCTAACTCTGCTCTTTCTTTAGACCAGCCTTATAAAACTGTTCATTTTGATTTAAGTAAAACTGGGTCTCTCTCTTTCACAGTTTCTTTCTGTCTTGTTTAAGGATCATGATGCAAACGCGACTGGATGGCCCTTTCTGCATTAAGGCATCACCTAGATCTTCAGAAGACCCACCTGCTGACAGTACAGGGCTAGGTTCTGATATTACGATCTGCCCAGTGGAAGTAGTAGCCAATTGAGGATAGTGGTGTGGTGTGGTGTGGGGCTTGTGACCTTGCACTCCTTTATACCCTTGCACTGCTGTGCTAGCCAAGCCTCAATTCAGTCCCCAGTTACCTTAGCTCAGCCAGGATAATTTCAAACTGGTGGCTTGGTGATCACTGCTCAAATGCCTGTTTTTGGCTGGCTTCCCACTACTAGGCAAGTTAATTTTCCAGCAATTCCCTTCATGGCTTATTGACCATAGAGAGATCCGGAATAAAATTTGACAAATGGTTCTGTCATCCCCATATGCCTCGGTAGCTATGCTTTACATGATGGAATGGAGCTCTCAGCTATTCCTTTTTATTTTGTCTGAATCTACAGTTACGCCATATTTGTTCAATTGATGCCCAATATCAATAACTTTGCTGACATCAGGTTTTTTGACTTTTTAACTTTAAGGTTTTTGCTGTCTACAAAACTTGCCTGCGTTTTTCCTTCCGCTCTTTAAGGTGCCTAATCCAAACTAAAGCACCATCCATAACTTCAGCACTTTGTAATCCCTCCGAGACCTAGGCAATTACTCTTTGAAATATCCCTGGAGCAGAACTAATACCAAATGTCATTCGCTTAAATTTAGAAGATCCAAATGGCATAGTAAAAGTCGCGAGCTTAGAGCTTGGCTTATCTGATTTTACTTAGCAGAATGCATGACCTTCATCCAATGCAGAGATTGCTTTTGCCTCTGAGGCTTAGCTGCCACAACAGGTTTCACTGCATGTTGCTCATGTTTTGTTTAAATACCAAGAATAGCTGCATAATGATTTTTTTATTTGCCTTTTGAGTCACAACCACCCCACTCTGTAGGTAGTTCTGCCTTTTCCCAATCTTCCAGCCTCTCCATATTATCAGGTTCAGGATCGACTTTGTCTGGTAGGGCAAAAGGGTGTTTTGTTTTGTTTTCTGGTGGATGCCTCACCAAAGATTTGTGTGTGGAAAAAGAAACTGATCACCACCTTATAGGCTTTTCAACCATCCTATCAAACTGAATGGACAAGTAGGTCTCTTGCGTATGGTATCCTCCTTCTCTCTTCAGTTCTACAGGTTTTAACAATCCTTTCTGTAAACACCTATTGGTTTCACTCCTATTAAATCCTATATGACTTGTCCGTAAGGGTGAAGACAATATTCTCCTTGCAGACGTTCTAGGGTTTGGAAGACAGCTGAGAATTCTCCCAGCATGCTGGCTGTGCTTTCTTCATGTGAGTCCATGACATTTACAACTGTCTTTTCAACTAACTTCAGAGTTAGGCAGGGTTTTAATTCCCTGATACAGATGGTGCATCTGCCTTGACTGTTAGGAAAGTTATTAAGCAAGATTGACGTGTAAAACAAGTTGTAAAACTTGCATGTTGTTGTTCTAGTGTATTAATTCCTGGATATGAAACAAGTCAAAGTGTGTCCTCAGCATTGTCTCGCAGTATTTGAAAGGCATACAGGAAAAACGATGAGAGAGGAATTGGTAGGTTGGACCCTAGGGTTATCCAATTAGGTGTGGTGGGGTGAGTGAGGTAAAGGGAAATTTAGACGGAATAACTGGACAAACTTCAAAACAGTGACATCTCTGATTGTGAAACAGTCTCCTGGGGGAAGTGGTAGAAGCCCCTTTGCTTGAATCATTTAAAATTGGCCTGGACAAAAAGTACTTGAGAATACATTAACAGTCAAGACTGAGCATCTGATGCTATACCATCTTTTATCTGTGGCTCTTGGAGCCTTTACAAACATCATCAGCTAAACCTCCCAGCATGAGGCAGCGTGGTGTAGAGCTTATGGGGCTGGTCTGAGAGTCAGGAGACATGGGTTCTATTTCCTGCATCTCCGGCTGGCTTGCTGTGTGAGCATGGGAAAGTCACTTCTCTCTGTGCCTCAGTTTACCCTCCTGCCCTTTGTCCATCTTGCCGATTTAGCTTGCAAGCTCTTTGGGGCTAGGGCTGACCCTCACTGTGAGTTTGTATAGCACCTAGCTCAACAGGACTCTCCCCTCCAGTGGAGTTTCTGGGAAATATTATACTACAAATAATAACTGCCCCAATCCAGAGTAGTAAATCGTATCATCTCCATATTAAAGAGTGTGAAACTGAAGCCATGAGCGAGTAGGTGATGTGAGTATGATCTGTGATGATTTCTGTTTTGCCCCAAACCCCACACACACACAGCTGTTACGGGGGAACTTCTGTTGTTACTGGTGGATGGGGGTAGGTCAGGTAGTGAGGCTGCCCGTAAAGGCGGGGGAATCAGGAGGCGAGCATTCCGGTTCCTTGTTCTAAGTGGCTGCCTCACGTATGCCGAAGGGAGGACTCGGCCCTGGTGATGGTGGCGGAGATGCAGCTTGACAGGCTGCTGGTCCAGTGCTGCTGCTGTTTCGTCATGGTAGGCCGTGCACTAGCAATCTCCAGCAAGTCTCCCAGGAATACCCAAGCAGGTCTCATCGAGCTAGACCCCCAGCCTCCCACTTACCCCTGCTCTGCTCTGTTGGTGGAGCTTGTCAATATCATTACTTGAGAAATCCCTGCACTCGAGAGCAGACCAATCTGCTCTTCCTGGCACCAGCCGTCGCAAAGTAACCCCACTCCTTCCTCTGTCTGTTCCAGGGGATTACACTGCTGGCAAATGAACCCCATGCTTATGTGCTGGGAGAAAAGGAGAGAGGCTGCAGAGGAGTGGGGATTTTTTCTAAGGCATCAGAAGATCGGATTTACGCAGAAGATTGGATGTTCTATCGATGGACTAATGGACCAACACCACTGATGAGTGGGACAAAAATCCTTTAAACGGCGAGGCTGCAAAGAACAGGAGTCCCAGTGAGCTGGTTCCATTGTGCTTCACGCTGTAAGTTCCTTGGGTTTGGTGGGAGGGTTAGTGGCAAAAAAACCCAAATCATTACTCCAAAGTGATTATCATTTTATTTCAGTGATCCATAGGAGCTCTTAAAAATACATGGTAGGGAATGTACTGCATTGCCAGAAGGCTCAATGCCATAATAGGTCTCTTCCATCTCTAGCAGCTATAAGTGCATGAACTTATCAATAGAATAGTTAGAATGTCATGCATTACATGCCTTCATGCACTTAGCTGGTTTATTCTATCAGTATAAAAGCAACCTGGCTGCATCTCACGTTGCTGTGACCTGAGTACATTTGGTCCTAAGTCTATAACTTAACAATAACAATACTCCTTTGCACTCTAGAGATCGGCTTTCCATCAGGGGATCTCAAAGCGCTTCACATCCCTGTAAAGTAGGAAAGGGTTAGGATGGTTCTGCCCTCATTTGTAAGGCACTCTGAGCTCTACTGATGTAAAGTGCGAGATAAGCACTAAGTAGCATTATTATTACTTTCACTTTGCCGCTGGGGATTGAGTCTCAGAGTAAGTGACTCCATAAAATCATACAAAGATCAAATCAACTAGGTCTCCTAACATAAAATGTTCAAAAATGCCCAGCTGACATAAGAATGGCCATCCTGGGTCAGAGCAGTGGTCCATCGAGCCCTGTATCCTGCCTTCTGAAAGTGGCCAGTGCCAGATACTTCTTGCAGTTGAAGGTTTAGGGACGCATGGGGCCTGAGGTTGAGTCCCTGACTTTCTTGGCTAATAGCCAAAGATGGACTTGACCTCTATGAACTTAGGAGTCTGCTATGTCTTGTTGACTTTCGAAGGGGGTCAGGTTCCTAAGTGCCCCCCTTATTTTGGAAGTGGGACAAAGGTTTCTAAGTCTCTAAGGCACTTCTGAAGATAGGATCATCAGTCCCTAGTGATTCCCACACTTTATCCAAGGTCACACTGGAAGTCTGTCGCAGAGCCAGCTGCAGACCCAGCACTCCTGACCCCCAATCTTGCGCCTAAATCACAAGAGCTTTTCTCCCTAAATATCCAGTTATTTAACAACTAACTCCCGTAGATTGTGTTTCACTGCGTATATTCTGTTGAGAGTGCCTTAAGGAAATGCTGAAATGTACTTTCTTCTCCCTCCCTTATGTTCCCATCCCAACACTCCCAATCAAAAGAAAGTTTGGATATTTGTTTTATTGACAACATGCTACCAGCACTTCCTAACCCAAACCCACTAGAGAGAAGGCATCCAATAGAAGCATCACAAAAAATCTCCCATCTAGTTAGAGTACTAACACAAGGCTAGGTGCGAAGTCGCAAGTGGTTGTGTATGGAAGGGGAAGCAAAAGCCAGACATGTGAGCATTCTGCTTTCTGCATTTTATTAAGATATATACATTTGTTTTCTTAAATTATTTTCTATGAGTTGAACAGGAAACGATTATTGTGGAGAGAAAAAAAAATACAAAAATAAAAGGGTATCGTGAAGTACCAGATCACCACATATACAACCGTAAAGTACTTTACAAGCACTTAGAGTATTAGAATTATAAAAATAGAAACACGACACATCCATGAGCATGAGCAACTTCTCTATCCCTCAAACATCTTTCAGTTCCACCTGCAGCTCAGGATTCCCATGAGAGAATACATTCGCTTGTTTGGACAATGGACATATTGGCTAGAGAGGAAAGGGCATCCCAACACTTCTAAAATAAAATGGTGCATCTGTTAGCAGAGTGGGCTTTTTAGACGTGATCAGCATTGGCCCTAACCTTGCTCCCAATGACACCAATGGGGTCTAGCTCTCATTGACTTCAGTGGGAGCAGAGTTAGGTCAACGAGAGCATTTGAAGATCCCACCCACGGTCGCCTATCGCCTGACCCAACACACCTATTGAAATCAACATGAGCCTTTCCACGGACTTCGACTGCTTTGAAAGCCACACTGTGTACCTGGCTCCGCAACAGCGCTGAGTTGAGCTAGGTGCAGGATCTGGGGGCTTCAGGCCAAATTCTGAGATTCACTGTTTTCAATCAGGCTGAGGATGCAAGTCGGGGGGGGGGGGAGAGGGGTTGTTTTTTTTTTTGTTCCTCAGCCTCAAGGAAGGAAACTGTGTCTTTGTGTCACTACAGGTAGAATGTCCAGAAAGATTAAAATTATCCTACTTTGTGATGTTCACTTACAGACTCAGTAACCTTTATATCAGATTTCCGCACCCTTTAGTCTTCAGTTCACTTTACACAGATTTTTGCTAACTCACCCTCTAGCTACCTTTTCTAATTTATTTTATACATTTTTTTTTTGCTCGACACAGTCAACATAAATGATAAGTAATATACACATGCTTGCTCCACTGCTCACTGAAATGCTCCTATATAATACTATCCCTTTTTCGACAAGTGTGGAAAGCATGGGCCTCGGACGTGAATCCATGTCTGTTTTACCTCGAGGAGAGCTTCTGTGTTGAGCTGGTCAAAGAAAGGAAAAACCTTTTCAGAAAAACTTTCAAAGTAATTTGTGTTCTGAATTTAATTTTTTTTTTTTCAAAATATGTTTTGGAAAATGTCAAAATCTTGAATTGAAAGATGTAGAAATGTCAATATTTTGTTTGGGGAGGGTTTCTCTTTTTGTCACTGAATGCAATAAAATGAGTGACACCCTGAGTCTGTCTCTTTCTTTCTCTCGCTGGCTCTTTTTCAAAATGTTACCAAGTGGCGAAAGGAATTATGAAAAACAAAGAGAACAAACAAACTCTGGGTGTAATTGATTCTATTACATTCTGTGACAAAATGGTATAGAAAAACAACCCCCTCAAAGTGTAAAAATATTGACAGTTCCAAATTTCTGATGGGATGGCCAAGCAGAACATTTTGAAAAACCGGCAGCTCTTTGCAGAAGTTTCTGGGTTTAAAAAAAAGACTAATTTTCACTGAGGGCAGGAAAGTATTAAAAGAAAGATTTTGACCAACTCTACTCATTGGGCTCATGGCATGATGGAAAACAAACAGGTCAAAAAAGCTCAAGAGTGTGGGTGACATTGGTAAGTAACTGCTCAGAGAAATGCACCTTTTCAAAGCTACATTTACTCATTTGAGATTAACAGCCTGTAACTCTGGAAAAATAAATGTATAAAGATCTTTTGTTTAAAATTAATTATATCCCTCTTAAAAAAAGAGAGCTCTGCAAAATGAAACAAACAGCCCCTTTAAATGCACAACACACTACAAATATGGCATTTATTTGCTGCTGGCAGAAATTAATGGGAAATAAATTTGCCTTTTCTGATTGACGTAGCAAACCTAGAATCCAATTTATGGTGTTCAAGTGAGATGTAACAATTATTGTCCTCCAAACCAAAAAAGGAGCTTTGTTTGCAGCACTTCTGACTATTGGCAACATGTAAATGGGACACGGGGATATGGCTAACGAGTGGGTAAAATGTACTGTGTAGGAAGAAGGCAAGACATGGCTGCTTCTGACTATCGCAAGCACATTGCTGATTCACGCACTGATTCGACATCAAACCAAAGTCCAGCTAAGTCAGTGATTCTCCTAGTATCTAGGATGTATTTGGGTATGAATGCCCAAAGAGACAGATTTAAAACAAAAGAAAACTGACCCATCTTGTTGTATCTACATTACAGGGAACTGACATGGGTACAAGACCACGCTGAATGAGAGGTGAGGTCAAGAAAATCTAGGCTGTAACTGATAACGTTGCTTTGAAAGAGAGCATTAAACTAGCAAACAATAAATGTAGCTGAAACAGGGTCTGATCCGACTGCCACTGAGCTCGGTAGGAGTCTTTTGGCTGATTTCATGGGGTGTTAACTAGAGCCTTTAGACAAGTTAAATAAAAGCCGGGTGCTGTAAGGGCCCAGTCCTGCAGTGGAGCCCCCAGAACCTTGTCCGAGACGGGGGAACAAGGGGAGATCAGACCTGTAGGGTATAATCCCTGCTTAGCATGAGCTACTGGGTTCCATCTGCAGAAACGTTTCCTCTTGCCAATGCATTGAGCACCTTATTCCGCTGAACCTTCGCCCCATTGCTTATCAGCTTATTGTAAATCTCCAGCGGCTGACCAGCTTTCCAAACCAGCTACCTGTGCAATCGTGCACTTAATCTATGAGACCAATCACTGTAATTGCATGTGCCAATCAGGTAACTGCACATACAAATGGTTGGCTAGGGTCGTTAGTATACTGAATTAGCTGGCTAGGTATTTGTACTGCAGCACTGGGCTGTACCGGGAATGAACCAAGTTACCCCACAAATGGTATTTTGGGCACCCCTGATTGAAAACAAGGACCAGATAAATGACTGCAATTGGAGCTGTTATACGCTACGGGGCCCGATCGATTATAGATCTGCACAGACACAATCCCAGTCCAAATCAGTCAGAAGGTATTTGAAAAACCCTACAACTACCAGGCATGTGCTATATTATAGTTCCAAGTCCCTGGTTTAGATCCATTCATGTTCCTCTGTAAGATTATTATTCAGGGACATCTCAGCTCTAATAATACAGTTCAGACTACATGTTTTCCCTTTCAGTCCTGCTGGCACCCAGTGACACTGATTTCATTGCTCCCTAGGATGCTCAAAAACCTGCTTTTTCAGTCTCCTGACAAGTGAAATACCCTGCAGCTCTCCAGAGGCCTGATCAGTGAAAACTGTTTGGCAGCCACTGAAGCTGAGCCATGTACAGGATTCGTGCAGCTGCTGCTTTTTGGACCATTTGGCTGTTAAGAAATCATGTCATAAGTCTGTTTTTTTTTTCTTTCTAAGGCAAAACAAACCAATAAAAATCACGGCACATTTGGATGTTTCTTTCAAGTATGTTTTCTAGTCTAAAAGTGCGTTTAAGTGTTTGCACAGCAAACAAAGCCCAGAACTGGGGGTGGATTAGTTGGGAAGGACAAAGACGCTCGTGCTCCAACCAACGTGTGTTTTACATCTGTCCCTGGCAACGGCTGGACACCAGCAGAACCTGCGCACAGTGACCATGCTTGTGCCTGATGGGAGCCCACCTCAGCTTGGAGTGGAGCTGTTCTGGGAGGGCAAGGGTGGAAAAGATATGGTAAGTAAGGGTTGGGTTGTGCCTTTTGGGCAGTGGCAGGCATAGTTCGGGAACACCAGGAGAACACAGCACACATTGAGCCACCCCCTAAGACAGTGCAGTGTGTATTCCCCTCTGCAGTTAGCCAGCCTGCAGTGCTCCCTGCCCCCGTTAGGGGAGCATGTGTCCTGGGGGCACAGGGACCGTGCACAGTGCGGGTGGGAAAGGTGCCTTGTCCCACCTTGGGCAGCCTCCCAAGAGCCAGTCACAGGTTGCTGAGGAAGCTTTGGCTTAAGCAGAGCGTGTCAGAGGTGTGGGGCCAAAGAATGGACAGCAAGTCAGGTGTCTGACCCTGGATTTCGTTCGCCAACCAGATTTTTTGCAGCAGCTGGCGTTCATAAAGCAAAGGCAGGAAGAACAGACTCCCTAGGCAGCGAAGTGGTGTCTGCCCAGCATGCTGCGATGAGGGAGAGCACAAGGGACCTGCTGCGTCGGCTCAGCTATAGCTGCTGCTGTGGCAAGGGCTGGTGAGCAGAACAAAGAGCCAGTGGGATTCCTGAAGGCAAGACTACGTCAATGCGGAGCCAGCCTGGCAAGCGACGGCCATTTTAGTTTGCCTTCTGACTCTGGCCTGCCCCTTGCAACCAACAAGAGCAGGGAATTTAACAGGTAAGGCTGAACTGCAGCTTGTAAGTCATCCTGTTGGCAGCCTAAAGGACTCATCAAGGGGAAATCAGGTCCAGATTGTCCCAAAAGGTGCAACCTTGGGGTGGGCTCTTCTATTTTTAGAGTGTGGGGGGGATTAAGTTCCAATCTGAGAGCAGGAGTACAGGTTCCAAGGACCTTGGGGTTCCCCTTCAGCTCATGGGGACTGGAGCCTCAATTTACCACTCTGTCCACTCTTTGGAGAGCCCTGAACCACCTAAGGGTCTATCTTCACTGCCAAGTTAATTTGGACTCTTGCTCAGACAGTGGCCCTAACATCCATCCCGTCCACAAACACAAAAACCCCTGAGTCTGGTGGTGTTATGGGGCTGGATTAGCGCTCAGTGGCTGCTTTCGCTCAGGCTGGTAACCCACCCACTTTGCAGTGAGGACACAGGCTAAATCATTCATGCACCAATAGTCCTCCACACCGTCCCAAAATTCCCCTCCATGCACCCAGCAGGACAGACAAGTTCTCCCACAATTCACTGGGAAGGGATTACAGAGCGGCCCAGTTGACCGCCACACAAAGGACCATAAGCTGTGCCCCCTGAATGATGTACATGGGGAAATGCAGTGTCCGCAAGGCCCCAATGACTTGTGTGGCTTTGCAGACAACTCAGACCTGGATGCCAATCACCCGAGTTAACTGTGCCATGAAGGCATACCTTAAGTGCACTGTGGCATGTTATGGGAAGACACCCCCTCACACACAAACACACACACACACACATTTGAAGCTGGATAGTTTGGGGCAAATACTATGTTCCTTTATGCCTGAAGTCAATGTGCTGGACAGAGCAAGTGCACGGCTTTCAGTGTGAGCAGTGTTGCTGCAATCAACACTTCAGAGATAGTGTCAAGACTTCAAGTTCGTGTCTGAATAAAAAAATATGCTTCTTTAAAAACAAACAAAAAACCCCACACACCCAAGAATGGCCCTGTTTCAGAAAGGAAAGCGTTCTGGTTACCCTAATGAATTTCCCTTCCCTATGGCTTCTGAAACAGACCGTAAGGGGGCTGTTGGCCCCGTACTAAGACTCAGTGGGGTTTTTTTTGTCTGGCCATCTCCCAGGACCAAAAGAAAGGGCAAGGGCCGCGGCGACTGACGGTCCCCAGGGGCAATGGGAGAGGCCACCGCTCCAAGTCACCCTGATTGACAGGGCAGGCAGGCCAATGAGAGAGGCCCGGAGTCCCGTCCTCCGTGTGAGTGGGAGCGGCCTGGGCCAGGGTGGGGAGAGCAGGAGCCAGGGAGCGGGGCCACGCCGGCCTGAGCTGACCAGGGGCGGCCCGGGGGGTGGGGCTGCAGCCGTCCGGAGCTGGGTGCGATGAGCAGCTGAGGAGAGGCAGGGGGACCCTGGGCAGCGGGGTCAGTGCAGGGAGACGCCCCTGGGGGGGATCGTAACCCCGACGGGGTGGGGGTGACGGGTCCTGCCTCCTAGAGCCTGAGGGCGTGTGGCTGCTGCCAAAGCCAGTGTCCCACCCGTGGCATCCCTGCAGCAGAGCCAGGGCCTGGGCCGTGTGAGGAACAGGCTGTGAACGGCCCTGACGTTCCAGAGACGCTGGCTGGGGTTCCCCTGTGCCCACAGAGACGGGTTTTCCTTTCACCTTTCCCGTTTTGTCCTTATTTTTTAATTGGTTGCTGTTTAATGAATTGTATTTGGTTTGAACTATGTGCAAGGATCAGTGGGTCAGGGAAGGGTCCAGAGTGGAGAGAGCACCCCGGAGTGAGGTCACCATATCTCCTGTCCTAAATCCCCCCAGGAATCCTGGATCCAGCCTTCTCAGGGTTACGAGGGCTCTGCCACACAGGAGAGTTGAAGGGTCAGGCAGGCTTCTGGGTAAAGGGACTGGGAGCGAGGACGCGGATCCTTTCGCTAGCCAATTCCATTGGGGTTGCGAGGAAAGTTCCCCACAATAGCAGGACCATTCACCCGCTTACACAGAAGGAAACCTGATCTTTTTCAAATCAGTTTTCTTAAATATCTGGGGGAGGAGGGTTGTTTGTTTTGAGTTTGTCATGGCATTTTTAACAGCTGTGGGCGTTCATGTGATTACAAACTTTCTGGACAAGGAATCTGAGTTATTCCTTATTATTATTATTAGGTGTTGTAACTTGGCTGGTCATGTGTACACTGAAATAACTGAATCAGAATTGCAGCAAGACAAATACAAAACAAAACACTTAAGAAAACCAAATAGAAATTAACTTCCAGAGCTGTTTAGCTAAAAAGCCTGCACGAGTTACAGGTAACATTTTCAAGAGCTTCTAAGTCCCATTTGCCAAAGTGACATTGGTACGTAGGCACCTAAGGATTTTAAATGAAACTAAAAGTTCCTAAGTGCCCAAGGCTCAGATCCTCAAATATATTTTGGTGCATAATTCCCCTAGGAGTGAGGTATCTAAATACCTTTGCAGATCTCAGTCTGTCTCCTTTGAAAATGGAATTTAGCCTCCTAAATCACTTAGGTGCTGTTCAGAATTTTACCGTAGGTGTCCAAATCCCATACAAATCCAGTGAGAGTTAGGTGTCTAATTCCTTTAGTCTCCATTGACAATCCCAGCCCTGGTGGCCTGTATTCACAAAGCAGTAACAGCTTTGGGATCTTCTATTGCTTTCTTACCCCTCTTCATAGGTATTGTCATTTACTGACGCACTGTTGCTTAGCATTGTTCCTGTTGTAGACTAATCGACACAGAAGTCCCACTTGTAGACACATCAAATAATCTTCGTGGGTGATGCTGGATGGGTTCATTTTTCATAACTTTGAGCATGATTTCCTTAATTCCTTTCCCATCCAGAGCCGGGCTTGTCTTGCTGCAGCGTGTCATCCCCAGAGGGAAATGAAAACAGCTAACAACGGATCAGTACAGTGATGCCACCACATATGGAGTCCTGTAGTAAAACAGAGCCTGCCAGAGCACTGTTCTCTTTTCTCGTTCCCTTTCAATGCTGATGCCAGTTGAAGCCCTAGAGAGGACGGTTTCCTCATGGTTTAGCTACAAGTGAAAGTGAGCATTTAAAAAAGAGCAACCAACTTCCCTCCTGCAGCTTCACCTCACAAAAAATAAAGCACCAGGGGGCTAAATCCATCCTTTGTGAAGAAGAGGTGGGAAAAGGGTGTCAAATCAGTCTCTGCATGCAGATGCCGTTGAACCCAGTGGCAGTATCTGTTAGCACCAGATCTCTGAGAGCCTGTAGGTGGCAGGGAGGGATCAGCCAGGTGTGAATCTAGCTGCTGGTGCTGGTCCGCTGGCACCTTCTGAAGGCTGCCCACCTCCGCGTTTTTACAGCTGCATGGGAACTAACCAGCTTGTGGGAGGAGCAGAGGGTAGGAATAGGCGGTTCCTTTCATTGTCCTTGGATGAATTATTACTATTGTGCACTATTACCGGACTCAGCAGGCTGGCGATGAGCCACGGCCCCCTTCTGCTGAATTTTGGAAACATCTGTCCTGTTGACAGTCTTCAACTCAGAGTTCAAAATTCTGCTCCTGCTATGGTCTTTATCATCTCATACAACAGAAAAGGCTTTTGGTCCTCAAGGAACTGCCCTTGAAAGCATATTCTCCTACACCTAGTTAACCTGATTGTCGTAAGCCGCCTTTGCATAAAATCAGGAAGTAGAATTAGAATACTGAATTAGATCTGTCCTCTCTGTGTGTTTTATCCCAGTTAGCTAAGCTTTCTGCCATTTTCCCTGGCTTGCATCCTCCTTTGAATGCAAATCTCCCCTGAAGCATTCCATTCTTGGCTCCCCTAAAAGCCCCTTGCACGGTATCCCATATGGCATGTAAACATCTGGCTCCTCAGAAGGGTCTCAAATGGGAGTTTGGCACTTGCCTATGCTGGAAGGGCAGGTGCCTTGTTGGCACGATCGTCTTTCCTATTTTGGTGACAATTTTTTTTTTTTAAAGCTAAATCGGAGGTCACTGTGGTGCCACAATGCAATCCTGGAGCTGTCCTCCAGATGGGGATTCGGAGTGGAATCAGTGTTTTATGCAATGAAAAATAACAACTGTCTTCTCTGTGTTTAAACACTAGGAAAAGCAGGCGGATAGCAGCTGTGCAGGCTGGATGGTGAGTGTGCAACTGGCCTTCTACCAGATAGGATCAGCTTCCAAGGCACTGCTAAGTCGCGCCTACGTGCTAGAGAAGACCCACGAAGCTGGGAAGCAGCACTATAACGTGGTAACTGCAAACCTAGGGCCTTTGCTATCTGATTTCATTGAAACGCTATTCAAAATAGATATGTCAGAAAATAAAATAAAAATCCAGAGCATGAACATCAAAAACGTCCCACAACAAATGCCAGCCTTTCGCTGACCAAATCCATAAAAAGTATGTCCCCTCTAAGCCTCCTCTTGGAGCAGTTCAGACGCGTCTAAGACCACGCACGCCCAGCTGCTAGTAGTCAAGGGCCTGTTGCCATCAATGAAGAGACCTGGCCAATCTGTCTGTCCGGAGAGGTCAGCGAAGGACGCGGCCTTGTGGTCGTCAGAGCCCCGCACGGGCGGATGAAAGGGTCTCGCTGTAGATGACGCAGGGGCTGGTTTCCTCGCAGAGCTCAAGCTGCACGCTGGACGCAAACCAGCGCTTGGCACAGCCCAGGCTGTAAGTGAGGGTGGTTCGGTAAATGTTCTTGGTGCATTTGGGGAAGATGATGGTTGTGCTCTGGAACCGCAGGGGCTTCTGGCGGGGCTCGAAGATCAGCTGCGACTTGTAGTTCCGCCAGGTGCAGTTAGGCGTGGCGATGACCGTCTCGCTGTAGGCGGTCACGGTGGGGATGGGTCCATAGAAGATGTCGTCCCTGTAGTGTTTCTCTGAGTCATATTTCACCTCCGAGTTGCACCTGAAAAGTACAGCAAGAAGTCAGGGAGCGCATAGAGCAGGAGGGTTCTGTGCTGACCCGCTCCTATCTTCTGCCAGGATACTGGCCCAATGAAAGCAAATGGTGCTCTAGGGAGGGCTGGGCACACAGTCCCCCTGGCGCAGAGCAGCAGCAGAACGTCCTTGCTGCAACCACAGGTTTGCAATAGCCATCTCCGCTGCTATACCCACCCAGCTCCTGGTACTTCTGCATAGTAGTGAATCCAGGATCCCAACTCCCCATGGATGGTGGGGCACAAGGATCCCCCTCCCTGGAGCCTGGCTGCATGCCATAGAGAGCATTGGGACCCCCTGCACAGGCACATGGGTTCCTGCCCCTTTCCCTGCACAGCAGAACAGCTCAGGTTTGGTTGCTTTGCAGTGTCATCCCTGTCCTTCCTTGGGTCTTAGGGTTATCCCAGCCCTAAGCCAGGATCCCTTTTAGCTCTTTTCCACAGTGGGAGCAAGCCCAGAGGCAGCAGTAAAGGGCACAGCTGTTGGCCACTTGTTGCTGGTGCCCCATATGTGGGAGACAGAGGAATTGGAGAGAAACAGATGTTCAGCCAGAGGCTGGAAGGGTGAGCCTGGTCAAAGATTCCTGACATTTTAGGTGCATCCGTGGCCCACCCCTGCTTTTCCACAGGGTGGTGTGCTGGCTTCCTAGTCTCTACCCCAAACACATCAGTGGTCTCTGGCACGGCTTCTGCGGCTAGTCTCTTGGAGCATTGCTATTAACCATGACGGAAAAGGGTTCCCTTGATTTTTAAATCATGCTGCATGTCACCTAGATTGTCATCATGCAGCGCACAATCTTCCCCTGGCATTGTGCCGGAAAGAGGCAGCCCTCCCTTACGGGTAGTGCACAGGGACAGGCTGGTGAGCATGGGAAATGGGCATGCAAGCTGGGTGAAAACTGCCGCTATTGGTTGATGCTCCTGTACCCCTAATGGGGACCCTTAGGTGGCCCTAAAGCAGATGCCTTTCCAGTCTCTGCTGTGCACCAGTGTCCACTCCTGCCCTCACTTGGCAAGAAAATAACACCATGGACGTGGTTATTAAAGAGAGCTAGAGGGGGCTTGAATGAGCTATTTAACACCTTCTTCCCATCCCTCCCATATTAGAGCAAAGGATCACCTGCTTAGAGCAATGGTAGCTTGATTTACAAAGGGACCTTTTGCATGTCCCCTAGAGCACAAAGCCATTTGCCCCAAACTAGGCTGCAGTAGAGGAAAAAGGGAGTGAAGTGACCCGGCAAAACCTCAAAAAGCTGTCCCAAATGGGCAGAGGAAATGCTGAGCTAGCCATAAACCAAGGAGCCTGAGGGAGTGGATGGAGATTGCTTGATGGTTTGGGTTCTACAGAAATGCCAGTGAGGGGTCAAATCTAGGGCTGTCAATTAATCGCAGTTAACTCACGTGATTAACTCAAAAAAATTAATCACAATTTTAAAAATGAATCGCGATTAACCGCAGTTTTCATCGCACTGTTAAACAATAGAATACCAATTGAAATATATTAAATATTTTGGGTGTTTTTCTACATTTTCAAATATATTGATTTCATTTACAACACAGAATACAAAGTGTACAGTGCTTACTTTGTATTATTATTTTTTATTTCAAATATTTGCACTGTAAAAGTGATAAACAAAAGAAACAGTATTTTTCAATTCACCTCATATAAGTACTGTAGTGCAATCTCTTTATTGTGAAAGTGCAACTTAGAAATCTAGATTTTTTTTGTTACATAACTGCACTCAAAAACAAAACTGCAAAACTTTAGAGCCTACAAGTCCTCTCAGTCCTACTTCTCGTTCAGCCAATTGCTAAGACAAACAAGTTTGTTTACATTTACGGGAGATAATGCTGCCAGCTTCTTTTTTACAATGTCACCTGAAAGTGAGAACAGGTGTTCACATGGGACTTTTGTAGCCAGCATTGCAAAATATTTACATGCCAAATATGCTAAACATTCGTATGCCCTTTCATGCTTTGGCCACCGTTCCAGAGGACCATGCTTCCATGCTGATAACGCTCCTTAAAAAAATGAGTTAATTAAATTTGTGACTGAACTCCTTGGGAGAGAATTGTATGTCTCCGGCTCTATTTTACCCGCATTCTGCCGTATATTTCATGTTATAATAATCTCAGATGATGACTCAGCACATGTTAATTTTAAGAACACTTTTCCTGCAGATTTCCCGCAAACACAAAGAAGGTACCAATGTGAGATTTCTAAAGAAAGCTACTGCACTCGACCAAAGGTTTAAGAATCTGAAGTGCCTTTCAAAATCTGAGAGGGATGAGCGTAGAGCTTGCTTTCAGAGGTCTTAAAAGAGCAACACTCCAATGCGGAAACTACAGAACCCGAACCACCAAAAAAGAAAATAAACCATCTGCTGACTCAGACGATGAAAACGAACATTCATCGGACCGCACGGCTTTGGATTGTTATAGAGCAGAACCAGTCATCACCATGGACGCAGGTCCTCTGGAAGGGTGGCTGAAGCATGAAGGGACATATGAATCCTTAGCGCATCTGGCACGTAAATATCTTGCGATGCTGGCTACGATAGTGCCATGAGAACATCTGTTCTCACTTTCAGGTGACATTGTGAACAAGAAGCGGGCAGCATTATCTCCTGCAAATGTAAACAAACTTGTTTGAGCAATTGGCTGAACAAGAAATAGGACTGAGTGGACATGTAGGCTCTAAAGTTTGACGTTGTTTTATTTTTGAATGCAGGTTTTTTTTGTACATAATTCTACATCTGTAAGTTCAACTTTCATGATAAAGAGATTGCACTACAGTGCTTATCTTAGGTGAATTGAAAAATACTATTCCTTTTGTTTTTTGCAGTGCAAATATTTGTAATCAAAAATAAATATAAAGTGAGCACTGTATTCTGTGTTGTAATTGAAATCAGTATATTTGAAAATGTAGAAAACATCCAAAAATATTTAAATAAATGGTTTTCTATTATTGTTTAACAGTGCAATTAATCACCATTCATTTTTTTAATCGCTTGACAGCCCTAGAAAATCCCAGCCCAAACAGGGAGAAGCTGCCAGGTCTGGTTCACGCTGCCTACACAAAATGAGCACTGTGGGGCTCAGCCACCATTAAGATGAGGATAAAAAATAGACACCAAGATAATTAACAATGACTCTTCTATCCTCGTTAGTTTCTCTATCTATATTCCATTGTGCACCTAACCTTCTCTACTGGCTCATGTGCACAAGTCGCTAACCCTGCAAGGTAAATATCCTTACACTGTGTGCTCTTTGGGACAGAGACTGTCTTTTGTTTGTTCTGTGTCCATACAACACCTAGCAGCATGGGGTCCTCATCCATGAACAGCTCCTAGTTGCTACAGTTATACCATATTTTTTATTATGAAAGCTCAGACTGCAGGGAGCTGTGGGACTTCCATGCGTTTTACTGCTCCAAACCTTTCAGCTGCAATCAGCAGGTAAGGAATTTGCAGCTCTGTGAAAAAAGATTAAAAGCTGGGTGTGTGCATGTCAATTACCTCCACCCTGGAGGGAGCCTGGAGGATTATGTGGCACGTGTAACATGATCTGCCTTAATGTATTTTGCACAGCTAGGTGTGTAAGGAAGCAAGTCGCTTGGTGCACATAAAACAAGACTCCTGTGTAATCGTCATAAAAACATGCCTGCCAGCTGTCCTGGGTAACCAGAGATTTATCCGGGTACGTTCCCAGGACGGTCTTTGTGTGGGTTGGGGGGAGTTGCATACACAACCTCCCCTTCCCCCCTCCCTCTTTAATTATTACCACAAGCTGGGTGAGTAACAGTACTGAAAATGCAACTTGGTGTTTTTAAAGTGAATTCCAGGCTGGCAAGACAAGACCCAGACTGTGAGCCCCGCTACCGCATAGGCAGCAAAGCACCAGCCTCCCAGCATTGAATGTCAGCTAGAAGGACTGCCCTTAGGGGGCAGAGGATAGATTGCCCCATGGAGATGAGTCTAACCTTGGCTTCTCTGCTGCAAGCACCAATAAAAATGGACGCCAGTTACGGAGACCACCAGCTCGTTCCGCATTCCAGATGGTAATGGTTTTCTATCCCGGCATGGACTGCATTTGATATAATCTGGAAATGAAGACCTCCATCTCCTATTACCAACCCCGGAACCACCCTCGCTTCCACCACCCGTCAGTTTCTTTTCAGTTCAGGAATTAATCTCCGACTTCCTCCTCCCCTTCACCCCCAACAAAATAACCGTGACACCCATTGATAAACACAGTTAATCTTTTGCAGAAGAAAATGTACCGGGGGAGGGAAGAAACCCCTCCATATGTACCTAATTTCCTGCACAGGTTCAGGGTTGACCTCAATGCTTTCGCCAAAAAACACCGGGAACATTCGAGGCCTCATCTCTGGCACAGAAGAGTTCACAAGAAGGTAAGGGACCTAGAGGACAAACGGGGAAAGAACAGCACATCAAGCATTAGGACACAGCAGAATGCTGCTGGTGTTATTTACAACATACACTGTTCAGTCATTGAACATGCCACCGGCGCTATGGCCAAATTCAACTCTGGTGAAGGTGGGCGCGACTCACTTGAATTCAGACCCCCCGGGTTCATGCTCTGCTGGGACTGCCCAAGAAGACGTCCCCTGTGGCAGGTGATTTTTGAGATGTGGACACAGACTGGAGACACAGCACCAACTCATGTCAGACTGCTGGTGGTAATGGCTTTACATCACAAGGGGCCAAACTTTGCTGCTAGCTAGACTGGTGTAAATCCCAGGTAACTCCATTGACTTCTATGGAATCACTGTGGATTCACCATAGTGTCAATAAGAGAATCTGGCCAATGACTTCATTGGCATTGCACTCCGTTGCACCAGGTCTGAATTTGCCCCTTCCCCCGAGGCCCTTTAACTCCAACTTACTGTCCCTCTTACTTCTGGGAGCAGAGTAGAGCTCACAATGGTTATCCAGTAGATCTGTTTGTGTCAGTGCATGGGGAGGAGGGATCCTTCCTTGCTCAGGTTACAAAGCTCAAAGGCTCATTTATCAAAGGTGGGGCCAGATCCTCAGCTGGGGTAGCTCCTTTGACATCAACACCAATTTAAATCAACCCACAAACTGGGAGGTGCAAGAATAGGTGCTACACAGACTCTGATCGGCTTTTCAAGTGGTTTGGCCCGATGGTGCATCCCCAGTAACACTATCTGTACTTATGTGGTTGCTTTCGTTTCATAGAATCATAGAATATCAAGGTTGGAAGGGACCTCAGGAGATCATCTAGTCCAATCCCCTGCTCAAAGCAGGACCAGTCCCCAATGTTTGCCCCAGATCCCTAAATGGCCCCCTTGAGGACTGAACTCACAACCCTGGGTTTAGCAGGCCAATGCTCAAACCACTGAGCTATTGCAACACCAGATTAGCATTACACAGCGGAGTCTCTGCCAGCTCCACCCTAGACACTGCCAGTAGCCGTCCCACCGCAGTGCCTCCTTCTGAGCGCCCAGCCCTGACGTAAGCTGATCTAGCCCTACAATCCAGGGTTGCCTCTCTACCCTGCAGATTCTTTCATTTGGAATTTTATCCCCTTCCCATATATCTTTTTCATTTGAATTATTCTTCTCTTCCCTTATTGCTCCTGCTATTGTGAGCCAGTGAGACTAGATAGTTTTCATATGGGGTCCCCTGCTCAAAATGGGCCTGATCAGCAAAGTTCCAGATCTGGAGGTGGATCTAGCGTTTGGGAAGGGTGAGGGTGAGGTGGTTCAGACCTGCTGAGGGTGCATCTGTGTTTTGTATATTCCTTCCTCTCCTGCTTCTGAACTACATAGGATGGAGTCCACCTGGATACTCACTGCTCAACCTCTGTCTTGAAATGTCGCTGCCCAAGGATCATGAGGAAAATCCTTCTTGAGGCAGGGATCTAACAAAGCTTCGAGTTTCAATACATTTTCCAATAAGCACTGCGCATGAGAGCCTCAGTGGCTTTGTTTCCCCCAATTAGTGCTCTGTGCTGGGGCAGTACATAGTGATGCACAAACGCCCACTTACTCCAGTGGGAATGGAGAAGTTAAAACATCATAGGCCACATTCCCCAGTCTGCTACATCCACTTTGCACAGGGTAAGCATCTCCCGCTACCCCTCCTCTGCCAGGGGGAGTGTCAGGGGCATGGCAGATCAGAGCTCCATTGCCCCAATGCTCCTTCGGAGTATGGTCCCTGTGGAGCTGCAGCTCCAACTTGCACCGGGGCAGGGCAGCTCTGCATCAGGGAGCTGCAACCAGCCCCCTCTCTTGTAACGGAGAATCCAGCCTGTTGTACCTTGATTTGGGCTATTCACCCCTGCAGCTGAGTAGCCCTCACGGTCCTTGCTAGAAATACTGCAATCCCCAAATGTCCAGGGGACCTGCAGGGAGGCGGCGCACCCTACCGCTGAGTTCAGCAAATAAGCTATTCACTGCCCCACAGCGGTTTCTGCTTTTTCTTCACCAATGAAAACCTCCTGGAATGTTTGTTCCTCTAGCCTAGGAGAGCACACTGGGACATTGGGGAGATTAATTGGCGCCTTTCGTTATATTTTCTCAGCTCTGTTCATAGCAGCAGCCCTGTGAATCTGGGGCTTTAAAACAAAGTGACCTAGAGCACTGGGACAGACTCTGAGCACCTTCTCCTGAAGCTTGTGAATGTAGCTGCTTTGCAACTCCTACATGGGATGATGGTGTCAGAAAAACTGGTTCGGTGAGGAGGGCACAAATGGTAGATAAGTACCCAACTCACATCGAAAATCACTGGGATTTGGATGCCTTTGAAAATCTGCCTTTTAGTCTTAAATGTTACAGTTGTCAGTGGAATCCCGTCCTATAATAAAGATAATATCCCGAACATCTAGAGCGCCTCCCTGACTACCATTTGAAACTCAATTTGCAAACATTTCAGCCTCAATGTCTTCTTAATGAAGCAAGCTAACAATGGGCAAACGCCAAGGATTCCCTTTAATCCAAAGCACCAATGTTCAGGGGTTCAGACAAATAGTTCTCCGTTTGACCCGTCTCTAAAGCAAACTGAATAAAATGGATTCAGACAGCTTGGGGAACAGCGAGGGATTCCAAATTTCTAGTTACTCTCTTGTCCTCTATCAAGAAACACATTCTCTCTCTATTCCTCCCCGAAGTACAGAGTAAATTTGTGCATGCTCTACATTTTAGATTTTGACCCAGTCATTTATGTAGAACCCTTGAACACCTTAGAAGGTCTTCATACATAAAGCCTAATGGGAAAATAATCATCTACATGGTCTGATTGATTGATCAGTAGTGGGGAAGTATTGGAGGACCCATAAAGTTCTCCGAAATAATGTTGAGACACTGAGATTCTTCCAACAATATAATGTAGCTGTCTATTCTCACAAAGCCCAGTAGCTTCTCTAGCACACAGGGAAAGCTGCTTAAGACTCTTTCTCCTTAGATCTGAGACCAGATTCTCTGCTGGTGTAAACTGAGTTCCATGGAAGTTACTGGTGCAGAGTTTTTGCACTGAAGGCGATTAACCGTTGGAGCAACTTACCGAGGGATGTGGTGGGCTCTCCATCATTTGAAGTTGTTGAGTGTCTTTATATGAGGTGTGTTCCAGTGCAACCACAAATTAGTGGGTCTACAGCAGGAATGATCAGGAGAAATCTTACGGCCTGTGTTGTGCAGGTTGGACTGGATGACCACAATGGTCCCTTCTGGCCTACAAATGTATGACTCTATGGAACTGCTCCAATTTACGTCAGCAACAAATCTGACCTCTGAAGTTCTTGGCAGGGAGGAGGGGCTTAGGGGTAAGGCATTTTCAGAAATGTGCCACAGGACATGAAAAAGGCTCCCCCTGACCACCAGGAAAGCTAATCGTGAACTCCTCTCCAGCACAATATCCTTAAACATAAGTTCCCAGATCGAATGAACCAGCATCTGTTGTCTGGAGCCAGTGCAGCTGCTACGTTAGCTCTGGGGCACTCCCTCGGAAGGCTGCCGCGTTGTGTGTTTCACTCCCCACAGCCACTTTGCCGTTGGCTTTGATTTATGAAACACAGGAACCTGGTGTCCCTCTAGGGAGATGTCTGGAGGCCTCTGGGCAGGGTTTAAAGGTCTTTAAGGGGGGTGAAAAACCCTTGGAAACATTCTCTCCACCCAGTGCAAGCTGAACCTATGCACGACAGAACCCGAGCCCATTTCTCAGCAGTCGCCCATTCAATAACAGTGAATAGTCTAAGAACATGGAGGATCCACCTGACGGTAGCAGAATCAATGGCTTCCAGCTTCCCCCTCTCTTTGAATTGTCTTTCACCTCTGGGTTCCTTACGGCTGAGTGAATCTGCTGCGATGGTGCACTCGGCCCAACAGGCCGCAGGAAGTAGTGGCACTCTCCAGAGGCCCTGTTCTAAGACGTTCTCTAGCTGTCTCTACACAGGCAAGAGGTTCTGAGATGCATCAGACTTTGGGGGGCTTAGCCTGAATTGAAAAGGAAGACTTTGGAGCTTCTACTCCATGCTCAGACAACGTAGTTCTAGAAAGTAAAAAGCAAGACCTAAATACTTTTCTAGAATGAAATTTATTCCTCTGCAGAGGGCCAGCTCCAGGCCTATGCACCACTTAAGTTCCCTGTAAGCCCCTTGGGCCATATCCTCAGGTGGTGTAAATTGGCATAATTCCACTGACTTCAATGGAACAATCCCGATTTACAACAGCAGACCACCTGGGTTTAAGGGGTGCATAAACTGAGAGCTTTTGCTTTTGACGGGCAATGAAGTTTCAACGTTGCATCTGAATTCTCAGGACCGCAGACTCTAGTTTACCGTGTTGCTCTGTTACCAGCCAGTTCTTTTTAAACCAGTGACATTAAAAAAAAATCCCTCCTTTTATCAAATGTTGCTGCTCCATCATCGATAATAGCCAGTATTTGCACAGTGCTATGGAAAAGGCTTGTCTCCACTGACTTTCATCTCCTGTCCAAATGGGAAAGGTCGTTCCTGCTTATTCCTGGCTCGCATTCAACACTCACGAGGGAGGGGTGGGCATTTCTATTTGTAAATAAAGCTCTTTTGCCTTTTGCATGTGATTCTTTTACAGGGCTATCTTCCATGACCGTATACACATGCCTTGCCTTAGATCTGTATGCTAGCTTTTACCTCTTGTCTATGGCAGGTGCTCTGTTTGAAAGCACCTAATCTGCAAGAGGGTTTTGTTGTTGTTTGGGGGGGGCAAATTGTACACAGACACATTTGCAGCATCTGCTAACTGCAAGCATGCTGGGTGAATCACCTGCAGAGCACTGCAGATTGCTTCTCCTGGAGTGGGAAGCAGAGGTGGGAATATGCATCCCTCCTTATGCACCAATTGGGATTGCGCAAACGAGAGAGAAACATAACTAGCTGCTGGGTGCCCTCAGTGTGAGTGCA